AACTGACCCAGGGGTGGGCAAACTTTTTGACTCGAGGGCCACAATGGGTTCTTAAACTGGACCGGAGGGCCGGAACAAAAGCATGGATGGAGTGTTTGTGTGAACTAATATAAATTCAAAGTAAACATCATTACATAAAAGGGTACGGTCTTTTTTTTTTTTTTAGTTTTATTCATTTCAAACGGGCCGGATCCGGCCCACGGGCCGTAGTTTGCCCACGGCTGGACTAGACCTTTCTTCTAGAAAGACTTTTAATGAACTCATCTGTTTCCAGGCCTCCATACCTTCCTACTGTAGATGCCCTCTGAGGTTCTGCTGGGACCATTGCTTATCTCTCATCTCTGCCGTATGCTCCCTTCCACCTTGTGTTATGCGCAGTAGTTTTCTTTATTACTATTTTTTTTAAAAAAAACCTTTTATTATGAAAAGTTGCAAGTCATACATACAAAACTAGAGAGTGGTAGGCGAATCTGTCTGTATTTATCAATCAGCGTTAGCAGTGTCCGCAGCTAATGTGGCCAATATTGTTTTTATCTATTCCTCAATTCCCCTCTCCCCACCCATCCAGCCCCTTAGTTTTAATCAAATTTCAGACATACCTTTCATCTACATTTCAGGATGTATTTCTATAAGACAAGGACTCCTTTAAAAAAACATAATAACAATACCATTGTTATATCTGGTAAAATAAATAAATCTTGAATGTCATCAAATAAGTATATTTGATGTATTTTTGATACAAATAAGTATATTTTTCAGCTTTATTTTTGAGTAGTTTGAAGCAGGATCTGAACAAGGTCCTGCCTGCAGCTGGCCGATAAGTCTGAAACCATTGAGTCCCTTCTCATGGAATTAATCAGTTTTGCTTTGTTTAGACATTTTGTCTGCTTTCAGGCATTCAGAAAATTTGTTTAAATCTCTTAGTTTTTCCATTACTTTCTTAAAAAAAAATATTCTTTTTATGCAAGTCCTTAGAGAGTGAGGAGAGAACCTGAACAGGAAATCTTTGTTTTTAATTATCATTGGTTAAAATTATTATAAATGTTTCCAACATGTAAAGCATGAGTTTATTATAGAGACTCTTGTACCTACTACCTAGATCAAGCATGTCAAACTCGTGGCTGGCAGGTGGCATGTCTTGTTTAAATAAACGAGTTTGACATGCTTGACTCAGATGTAACAAATGTTAACATATGCTC